ATTATATTCCTCGATGCCCCTTGGCCTCATCAGCAATGACTTCAAGACTTACCTGCATCAGCAGGAAATTAAGCTTCCTAAAAATGTTCCCCAAATATTTCTGAGAGCCCACTAAGGTGGTATCATAATCACATGTGCTCACAAACCAATCTGTTGGTTGAAGTCACTGCCTAATATCCTTCATGTTTTTCCTCTTCTTTTCCAGTTCCCTTTTGTCATGACCACTGTCTGTGAAGCTGCTTGAGAAAGACTGAGTATTGCCGATGGTGCAATGCCCATCAGCAAATGTCCATACCAAAAGCACTGTCTCTAGAGGCTTTCAGTCCATCAGTGCTCTGGTGCCTGACTGGTGGTACGTTCCATGCAGAGACAATGGCCTCTACATTATCTCTGTCCCACAATGTTGTAGCCTGCACACTCAAAGAGTGCTGCTTGTCTTATAAAGCCTCTCAGTAATAATTCAAGGGCTTTTGTTTTTCAAATTTGCCCAGAATCTCACAACATCTCTAATAAAAATGGTTTGGGTTTGGGGCCCTTATGTCTGTAATGATAGAAGGGTACAATTGCCATGCTAGCCCCTCTATTCTCCTAATTATTCCTAGCCTCTCCCTAAACCACACTCTCTCCTTCTTATTTAGAAAGCAGAAACCTCAATGTAGACAATGGAGAGGTGTCCACATGCCACATCTGCTCCCAACTTATCCAGCCAAAGATACACACTGCCCTCTGATCTCTCTCTTTCTGTGTGTGTATACATGTCAGGTTGTCCTGACTCTGTCTTCTTCTATGGTTCCCTCTTCTCCCCACACTAATCCATCAACATACCAAGCCAACACATCTCAGATAAACTCTCCTTTCCCACTTTTGCTTGTTTTTCTGATGGCAGGATGAGTGGGGAAAAGGTTGGAGGCCAGCAGTTTCTTAATTTTAATCTCAGTTCTTACACTAATCCCATTTGACTTCTGAATAATACAGAATCTCACGGTTGGAAGGGATCCTAAAAGTTCTTCTATATCTAAATCTTTCCCAATATGCGACCATCTAGTCTAGATTGTTACATCTTAGTTAAGAATGTGTGAGTTTCTGAGGTGCGCTATTTCCTTTGTGGGGAATTGTACACTATTTTTTCTCACATCACGATAAAATTTCTTGCTATAGCTTTCTTCCACTACTTCTAAATCTACCACTTGAATCCACACAGAAAATGTCTATTCCCTCTGATTTACAATATCTCTTCAGTCATTTGGAAATAGCTATCATGTCTCTTTGTACCTTCTCATTCGTATCCCCAGTTTCTTCAATTATTTCTTATGACACAGTTTGGAGTTACTTTAAGACTTAGATGCTCTCAGCTGAATGTGTCCCAATTTGTCTTTTAACATGTCTCTAATTTTCTTAACATATGATGCTCAGTATAATTCAGCAATAAAAAGAAGTGAAGTACTGATACATGCTACAGCATGGATGAACCTTGAAAACCTTATGCTAAGTGAAAGAATCCAGTCACAAAAGACCACATACTATATGGTTCCTTTTATATAAAATGTCCAGAATGGGCAAATCTATAGAGACAGCAAGCAGATTCGTAGTTGACCAGGACTTGAGGAGATGGGGGGGGGGGTCGAAAGATTGGAGGATAATGGCTATGGAGTACAGGGTTTCTTTTTGGGGTGATGAAAATGTTCTAGAATTGAGTGTCATGATGGTTGTACAACTCTGTGAATATACTAAAAGCCACTGAATTGTACACTTTAAATGGATAAATTATATGGTGTGTGAATTACATCTCAATATAGTTGTTTAAAAAATATGATGTCCAGAAGGGAAAACAGTACTTTGAAGTAGATTGCTTTAACCTCTGTATTTCAATTTCATTCTCTACAACATTGATGAGTTAATATATCTGCTCTACCTCCTTGACAAGATTGTTGAATCACATTTTGCAACATCATAATTATGTAAATTATTAATTTGAATGACTCTTGCCACCTCATACGATATTACTAAGACAATCTACTTGCTGGTAACTCACTTGTTTTGTTGGGTAAGAGATTTTTTTTTTAAATACCTATTACCCAATTCAGGAGAACGTAAGGAACACTTAGTACCCATTGTATAAAGTCCAACTCTTCACCTTAATATTTAAAGCTCTCTTCCAACTCTGTCCCACACTTCCTATCATTCTTCACAGCCAAACTACATTTCAATGACAAAACAACTGCTTTCTCTAACATGTACTTTACACATTAATCCTTTTAGCTGGTTATTCCTCTCAAACAAAATATATCCTATTATGGACTGAATGCTTGTGTCCCCCCCAAATTCATATGTTGAAGCCCTAACTCCAATATAAGGGTATTTTGAGGTGCGGCCTTTGGGAGGTAATTAGGTTTGGATAACATTATGGGGGTGGGGCCCCCATGATGGGATTAGTGTCCTTATAAGAAGAGGAAATGAGACTAGAGCACTTTCTCTCCACACGTGAGGGCACAGCAAGAAGGTGGCCATCTGAAAACCAGGAGGAGAGTATTCACTGGGGAAATGAATTGGCTGGTATTTTGATGTTGGACTTCCCAGCCTCCAAAACTGTGAGAAATAAATTCCTGTTGTTTAAGCCAAACAGTCTATGGTATTTTGTTACAGCAGCCCAAGCTGACCAATACATACCCCTTGGAATTCCACACCGATCCCCAGTCATGGCTTTCTTCTTCCTTCAAAAGTTTTTTCAAAACTTTCTTCTCTCCGAATTTCCCCTCATACTGATCGCTCCATTCCTATGCCTCCTCTCAGAAGTTTAGCTTCATATAAAGCTATGTTCTTATTCACAGAACTCTTTTCAGTTCTTATTCATCCATGTATTATATTTTGCCTCCTCACCTACTTGATAAGCTTCTCAAATGAGAGGGGTAATGTGTATAATTCTGTTATAACTTCTTTTCTTCAAAACACAAATTTTTTATCATTTCCACCAGTACTCAGTTATGATTGCTTCCTCTTTTCCTGCCATTGTAGGTCCCACACTCTATATGGCCTGAAGCTTATAGGAAAGACAATAACAGATAATCCAAAATGGCAAATACGCAAACACTATGTTGAAAGTTCACTCCATCAAGTTTAATTCCAGAGTTTCTGAGGAACATTATCATTTAGAGTGCCAAGAAATACAAAGAGGGTAGAAGGTGACTAAGTACACTTTAAGGCTTGCTCCTTCTTGTTGTTATATTATGAACAGTTGAGGCAGTTCTTGAAATGGCATCCCTTGAGCCCAGCAGCTTTGTAGAACAGGAAAGGGCACGTCCAGTAGGGAGGACACTGACAGTCTCTGCTTGCCCACAGGCCTGGCCTACGTGACCCGCTCTAAAGCTATTCTGACTGTAGCATCAGCTCAGCCTCACATTGGAAAACTCAAGCCCAGTTTTTACCAATGGCTTTTAGAAAATAAGACTTCCAGATGCAAACCAAAGACCAATTTCCTAAATTTTAATACATCAAAGAAGATATTTTTCTTTGCTACCAAGCCCATCTTCTACGCAAACATTTCCTGAGATGTATGTAAGGGAAAGGTGCAGTGCGCAGTGACAATGGCAGGAACAGACCAGAACTTAAACCTATGCTCACTAATTGGATGCTGAGCAGAATGCCTCAGTAGGCCCCAGGAGCTGATCTCCCCCAGACCATTACAGCTGGGAGGATGGAGTGATGGTGTGGATCAACTCCTCATTTTCTGGGCAAGGAAGCTAAGGCCTGCAAGAAGGAATGACGTGCCCAGTGGCTTATGATTTACTCACATGGTCATAAATATCGGTTCAAACTCGGCTCGGAAGCTTACATGCCGCCCCAGAGGAGAGCAGATTTGTTTGTGTGGGTGTGTTTTATGGCTCTTGTCATTTTAAAATACACTCGTTGATTCTTTGTCTCACATTTCCTCAGGTCGTGAGGAAATCCTTCCAAATGTGCTCTGCTTGTGAAAAGAAACGTGAGAATGGATGGAAGGAGGAAAGGAAGGAAAGGAACATGGAAGGGAGGAAGCTGACCTCCTATCCTCCTCCGCAGACTTTTCTATTCCCCCGTATCCCCAGCTCTGCTTTCGCCACGGCTCCGTTCCCTCCCCAGCTCCCTCTATTTCCCACAGCCCAGGAGGCCGGCCGACAGGGCTTTGCGTTTCGGAAACCCTCGCGCTGCTGCCGGCGCTGGGCATGCTCAGACGCCCAGGACGGGCTTTTTTCCCCTTCCAACTTTGGCAGCTCTCCCACCCGCAGCCCGAAGGGGCAGGTCCGCACAGGTCCCTCGGTGCGAGCAAACCCGGAGAAATTATCCGCGCCCGCGGAGGCAGCGAGATGGGGGAGCTCGTTGGGCAGCTCCGGGTTTCGAGGGCGCTTCCAAGGGGCGCGCGACGCCCGGGTGGCCGCCCTCCGCGCGGGGGCGCGCGCCCGTTGAAAGGGCCGCTGTCCGAGG